GCGGGGCCAGGGTCCCTAAAGCAAAAACCTCTCCAAAAAAAAAAAAAAAAAAAGAAGAAGAAGAAGAAGAAAACAGGGGATGCTGACTCTTCCTCAGTGGGTGATAACTATGCAGAATCTGAAGCCCTGGCCCATCATGGTGGCCCCTTCCTGTTCTTACCCAGCTCAAGAACCTCTACTTGACTTTCTGCAGGTCTTGTTTCTTTCCACCACGAGGGAGGCTGGTCCATGCAACAGATTGGGTGTTAAATGGGCTTAGCTGGAAACATGTTCACCTATAAGCCTTGAGTCCACCACAGTAAGGCATACCTGTTGACCCCCAACCTGCCTGCCACTATCTTGCTCTAGGGACTAGGGACTCTCTCTGAAGAATGGAGGTGAGGGAGGGTGGTGGCAATAGGAGTCCAAAGGGCAGCCTCCTGGTTTCCTGCTCAGGGTAGCTCTGTGCAGGCCCAGGTTAAATGAGATATTTTCTTGAATTTTCATTATGGACATTTTCAACATTCTCATGAGTAGAAAGGTTGGCGTCACTAGCACTCAGAGCCCATCCTCAGCTTCCTGTGCCTAGATCTTGTCTCATCTGCCCTCCCAGCTGAGGGATAAGGCAATGCCCTCAGCCTGGCTGGCCTTCTGGCCCTCAGAGAGGGGAAGAATGAACCACAACCAGGTCCTTCCTGTGGTCACAGCCTGATTGCCAGTTTGGAGCCATCCTGGCTTTGAAACCTTGGTATGTCTGTCATCCTCATGTTTGCCCATCAGGTCCCCCATGTTTGTTTGGAGTGTGGTTCTCCCCCTTTCCTACACACCTCCTGCTCATTACTGCAGAGCCAGTCCCTGGTGTGTTCTGGAAGAGGCAGTCCTAGCAGTGTGGGTGCATTCTCAGACTTTGCCCATGTGTGTGGGCAGCAAGATACTGCACAAAGCAAGGAAAGAAAGAGAAGACAGGGCAGCACATGGCACCCAGCAGAGGGAGCCTGGGGACATGCAGGGCATGGTGCAGGGGTTCTGGAGATACACAGCACCCGTCAGCCTGAACCACCGTGGGCCATTCTCTGTCTCTGTCCTCCCACCTCCTGCATGGTGCAGTCTATAGCATGTGTGTTCTCTCTCTCTAGGGGTCTCTGCTAAACATGTGCAACTCCTGAGTGAGGGGAAGTTCAGCTGTCCTCCAGGTGCTCTGAGGGGAATGGCAGGAGACCCAGCAGCCCAGCGCCCATCCCCACCAGCTTCTGGAGAGCAGGTATCCTTGTGGGAGCACACCTGTTTCTGGGAACTAGGGTTTTCTTCCTGTAGATACTGTGTGCAGGGGAAGGAGAGGTGGCTCCAAGTGCTTCCATCCTGCAGCAGGGCCTCGTGAGGCATCCTTTTCATGCTGTGTGTTTGTACTGGGTTGAACTTCTAAAACCTTAATTGTGCTGGGGCAAATCCCAGACATGAAGAGCAGATAGGGCTGTCCCAGCCTAGGGGAGTAGGGGTCACCCCTCAGGTGGCTCCAACACAGGTAAGTCTTCAAGCAACCCAAGGCATGGAAATCATTAGTGAATTCATTTGTTAGTTTGTTTTTAGTTTTTGCTATATGGTGTGTGTGCGTGCCAGAGAGAGAGATAGAGAGGGTGAGAGGGAAAGTGAGAAATCACTCCCAGGAGGGATGACCACACCAAAAATACCTTCTCCTTGAGTTTCTTCTTGGGATTAGGGGCACACACACACATGCACCTGTCATGATTTTTAAGTTCTAGGTCCAGGACTCGAACCTGTCAGTCAGCCATTTAGGTTCCTGCACCTTAACCTCTGCACCATCTGCTGGCCCGTGTTTGTTTATTTTTAATTGCCAGTGGGTGCATGGGCTGACCAGACAGAGAGAAAAAAATACCCCCCAGTGGGGTATGGTCATGCTGCAATCCTTTCACCATTTCTCCATTTCAGTGGGATATGGGATAGGCATACATATGTGACTTGCATATTTTTGAAGCCACCAGAGTCAGAATTAAAATCACGGTCAACCATATATGACGTTTTTTTAATGACTAGGCTACAGGACTAGCCCTGTTTGTTTGTTTGTTTGTTTGTTTGTTTTAGTTTTCCTGGTTGAAAATGACCAGGAAAGGACCATTACATTCTGATGGGAAAACACCAGTTTCCCTGGACTGGAGCACCAGTGCCCACAGGTATGTCAGCGCCACATGAAGTCATGCTTCCTATACACCAATGATGCGGGTCATACAGGACTTGTCCACATATTCGCCAAGGCTCGCTCCTCCTTGGACTGGGGTGGGTTCAATAAAGCACCCCTTAACTGCAGTGGAAAAGTGAAGCATATTTTGAAGCTAATTTGCAGAATTAGACCAGGTAGTATAACAAGGTTAATCTCAAATGTTGGAGTCTTACAAGATGATGCCATTCAGAGTTGTCACTGTCATCACAGTGGACTCTTAACGCACAGTAGTGAGCCTGTCTAGGTACCAGATACTGTGATAGCTGGTGAGATCCTGGGTACAGAGCATGCGCATTTGGAAATCGTAGTGTTAGATGAACCTGGAGGACGTGGTGCTTTGTGAAATAAGCCAGTCACAAAAGACAAGCAAATGGGATTTCCTCTCATGTGGGGCCCCAGGGGTCATCAAAATATTGAGACAGAAAGCATAAGGATGGTCATCAGAGGCTGGAGGCAGAGGGACAGGAAGTTGTTGTTTAAAGGGGGCAGAGTTTCAGTTTTGCCGGATGAAAATGTCCTGCAAAAATGTCTTACAAAATACACTGAGCACTGCTGAAGCATACACTTAAGCATGATTAAGATGGGAAAATGTATGTTATTGTTTGTTGCCATAATTAAAAATAAAAAATAGCATTGGGAAATAAAGAATCCAAAGTAAGCAACATTCTAAAAACTGTTTGCCTTTCTCTGGATCGCATAATGTCACACTGTTCTGGAAATTGAAGGGTTATGTTTTCTAACAGAAATTAAGCACATAAAGAACAAATGTAACTTTTCCTTCTTAAAGTAAAAGAAGATTGAGCAACTGTAGATGTTTCTTTGTTCTTCTTCATCTTCGATTGCACATCTGTGTCCCTGTTCAAAGTATTGATAGTTGCTGGTGATGGTCCGTCAGTGTTGCTGAGAATGAACAGCTAAATTAACCACAGTTCTCGCTATTCTTCCTCTGTTAGGGTACAAAGGTCGATTTAACTAGTAGCAGTGCTGAGAAGTCAAGGATAATGCAACTGCATAAGAGGCATTTATTGTTTCCGATGCAGTGGGTTGCAACAAGCACCCTGAATCTAGCTTAGAGGGGCCTTTTATAGCTCAGGAGGGCAATACAGGATATACTGTCAGCAACTTTCCATAGTATGCAGCACACAAGAGAGGGGGGTATGCAAAGTTAGGGTCCAGTTGTTACCGCCTGCTTGAGTCTAAGTAAGAACTCTCAGTTAAAGTTAGGTAAAAGTTAGGTAAACCTTGTCCTGGCACCACCAGGTCGGCCCATCCTCTGCTTATTTATGAGTTCCTGTCCTCTGTTTATTTACGAATTCCTGGGCTCCTGGGGCCCCATCCTCAAAGCCCTGACATGGTGGTGATTATGCTAAATCGGCCTATGCTAACTCGGCCTAACATATGCTAACTCAGCCTAAGAACCTCCAACCCACTTTGTCTTTACTCTTGATCTGTTTATTTATAACATTACTCCTTTTATTTACTTATAAAATTCTCCCCCCAAAAAGAAACTCACCATTTATCACAGCAGGTGATTTCGGGGTTATGAAGACCCATTAAGGTAGAACTCCTCACCACAGAAAACGTAAAGTCCAAGCAGGAGAGGGTAATACATGGCAAATGAGACCACACTGGTGAATTCCAAAGTTTATGGGACTCTGTAAAGGAACCACTTACCATGACTTGAGAAGTCATGGGATGGAGATTGGGCTTGAGCGGCTAAGTAGGTGTTTGTTAGGTAAAGCAAAGAAAAGGTGTCATCTCAACAGAAAGTGGGGACAAGGCCAGATAGTGGTGCAGCAGTGAAAGGTAATGCTCTGCAGGCTGACCCCCAGGGGGAGGGTTCAAATTCACACTTGAACACCTCCCTGTTGGGAGTACTCTCTCTCTCTCTCTTTACTGTTCATGGAGGAAATCAATACACTTTTTTTTTAAAGAGGTTTTTGCTGTAGGGCACATGCACTTGCCAGAAAGACAGAGAGACACAGAGAGATGGAAAGCAAGAAATCACCCCCCAGGGGGGATAGCCACTCTGCAATCCCTTCTCTTTTCTCCTCTTGGAATCTTAGGCATGCACACACAAATGCCCGGCGGGAGTTTAAGCCACCAGGTCCAGGACTCGAACCACAGTCGACTACATGGGAGTCTAGCAACATAGCCATTACGCCAACTGCTGGTCCCAGATTGTAGCTGATCTTGAAGTCTCCTAGGGTGTTGCTGGCTTCACCTGAGTTTCTGAGTTGGTGAATCTGGAGTGGACCAAGAACTTGCCTGTCACATGTGCCCCATGGTGCTGAGACTGCTGGCTCAGAACCCCAGTTTGAGAACTGGTGAAGGCGAGTCCTGTCATGGGCCTCTGAAGCCTTGCTCCCAGCCAGCATCCCGGACCAGGACCAAGCTGTCTGCACCTGCCCTCCGTACCCCCTGGTGACTCAGGACCTTGTTAGACTGTGGTGAAATCTGAAGCCTCTGCCTTTTTCCCCCCCGCAGCTCTCACAGCCGCCTGCCTGGTCCCTGTACCACCAGCGTCCCAGAAGCCCAGCCTGGTCCTGAGAGGTCCTGTCTGCTCACTTGGCGTCCCCCTGGGCCCATCCCAGTGCAGGATCCTAGCCATGCAGTGAACCCCGTCCTCCACAGCTTCCCAGAAGCAGGTGTCCAGGCCCCTTTGCCTCTGGGATTCCATGCACACTTGGCTTCCCCGGCAGCTGTCTGTCTGACTCTGGATTTTGGAGACAGCTCTGGGGTTGAAATAAGGCTGAACAATGTGTCTGAGGCAGCGGTGGCGACTGCCTACCACCAGTATGGGACAGGTATGGCACGAGAACCTGAGAAAGAGATCCTAATTGGTTCTTAGCCACCCTGGTTGATGGCTCTGTGGCCCATTGAGCACGTGGAGGAATCTGTGCTGTGCACTGAGGCCAGCTCCTCACACACTCATCTCATTCACCTTCGGTCACCCCTGGCAGGGCCAGAATGAAGCTGAGGGATTTGCTCTGAGATCCCACAGCTAAGACATGGGGCCACTTCCTACCCACCTGGATGCAAAACTCAAACATCATTACTGTTGGACATCCCGTATTGTTTCCTTCAAGTACACACACTTAATATTGCACACTGATTCTGTTGTGCGAAAATTTCCAACACTGCATTTTGACCCAAGGAAGGGAAAAACTCTTTATATATGCATATATGGGCATTGGACCCATTCCACTTAGACAACTGCTAAACTCCTAGAGGTGGCGAGGGTGGGGGTGAGTGGAGAATTCTGATATTTTTGCTTGCTGGCAAGATTGATTGATTGATTGATTTTTTTTTTTTAGTTTTTCTTTGCCATAGGGCACATGCACGCTCCTGAGAGTGCCAGAGAGGAAAAGTGAGAAACCATCCCCCTGGGGTATGGCCATGCCACAACCCATTCTCCGCTCTCCTCTTGGGGTTTTGAGCATGCACTCACACATGCCTGGTGTGATTTTTCAAGCCTCTGGGTCTGGAACTCAAACTGCGGTCTACCATGTGGAAGTCTAGCGTCTTAACCATGATGGCACCTGCTAATCCCAAGATTTAATTTTTTTTTTTGAAAATTATTTCTTGAACGTGGTACAAACAGCGTACTCTAGAGAGATGTACATATAGTACAAGGTCGTTTTCCCACTGAGCTGCAGTTACCTGCTGTCTCCCGTTTCTCACATGTTTTATGCACAGAAGCCTCCCATGCATAGGAAGTGTACTACACGCAGTGACCTGCTCCCTGCCCACCTGAGTGCGTGTCCATATCTTCGAGATGCCCCATACCTGCACGGAGGAGTTTCCCTGTTGTTTTGTGTGTTTGTGGAGCAGTTCACTAACTTAGTGAGGCAAAATTTAGCTTTATTTTTCTTTCTTAGTGGACTTTGAGATTGTTTCTAATCCTTCAGTATTACAGATGTGCCTATACTCTGGCTTCTCTTCAGATCGTGTAAGTCTTTCGCCTTTTACAAATGTGCCAGCGTATGTAAAAGGGGAACTTCAAAACATTTGTGGAAAAAATGAAATGAAAATACGTTTATTTTGGTGCAAAAATTTTGAAACCCATGCAGAGTGCTTTATTTATTTATTTGTAATTTTGTTTATAGGCCTGAGAGAGAGAAAGAGAGTGAAAGTGAGGAAGTATCCCCACACGGGAAATGCTCATGCTGCAATCCCTTCTCCTCCATCTCTCCCTCCTTCATGATTTTGGGCATGCACATCCACACACCTGGCATTTTTCTCAGGCCGTGAGGTTGGGACTTGAATTGTGCAGTTGGCCATGTGGGATCCAGCTGTCTTCACCACCATGCCACAGGGTGACTCCTGCAATGTTTTCATCACAAACCTTTTCTGTGAACTTTTTGAAGATCCCTCAGATATGCCATTTTATAGGAAAATGGAGTTATTGCCTTAAATGCTAGATATATTTGTAATTTAATGGGTTACTGCTAACTTGCCCTTGGAGGGGAGACAAATTATCATTTATTTCCTTAACCTTCGTAAGTTCCTAACTGGGACAGATTCCTGTTAACAAAAGACAGATTAATAAGAGAAAAATCAAATTTATTTACACATGGCCACATATGGGAGAAGCCTCTGTAGTAGAGGGACTCTCAAATTGAAATGATGCTAAGGGTCCTGGCTTATATAGAATATTTAATAAAGAACAATTAATCTTAGAAGGAACAAGACAAAGGACCAAACAACTTCCAGATTCCCGGAGGCAGGAAAATATGGAAAGGCAAATTTATGGGTGGAAGGTCTGTTCCCAGAGTCTTCTGGCACCATCTCTGAGCTGACAAGAGAGTGAGACTTTAAATCTCTCTTTAGGAGAAAGAGGGAGGCGAGGCAGATAGCTCTCTTTCTCATAAGAATTTTTCTGGGATGGGCAGCTCAATCAGCCCTTTGTGTGCTAGTTATGTGTTAATTGCCTTTAGCTCAGAAATATTTATGTCAAAGTAGCGTATCTCGGGGGTAAAAGATTCTGGTGTCCTTTATACCCGATTAATGCTATTCAGTTTATACTCCTGTGACAATGTAGATGCCAATATGATAGGTGAAGTGCTATCTTTCTGTAGTTTTAATTCGCATCTTATTAGGTTCATCCATGTAAAAATAACCAGTATTTGACTGTATTTCATCAAGAAGAGGATCACATTTATGGGAATCCTCCCTTTTATGGCTTTGCTTATAGTTTTTTTCCACAAGGAAATTTTAATTTTTATTAACTGTTCTCTAGCCATTTTGTGATGGCTTGTGAATTTTATGCCATAATTTTATGTTTTTATTACTCCAGATTTATAAAACATTTCTCTCATGATTTCCCCTACTGTTTATGATTCCGATTTGTACATTTAACCCTATAGTACATTTGAGTGGCTACTCTGGTGCAGCGTTTGCACGTAGGCTCCATTTTGCTGCTTTCCAGACACCTGCCCATGAAGCTCAACACCACTTGCTGATTGCTTGTGGCCCACCTGGGCCTGAAGGACCCCACGTGTCACATGCTCTCTCCTCTCTGCTTTGAGGCTGTTTGTAGGCTGTTAGTCTTGTTCCTCTTACCTGGCCGGTCTGTGTCTGCGTTTGAACCTCTGTTGTGAGACTTTCTGTTTCACAGTTGGTGGGGCTTGCTCCCCACCCCTGCCCCTTAAAAGTTTACTTATTTCTTGAGCTAGAAAGAGGGAAAGATCGGGACCTCGGACTGGTTCTTCATGCCCTGATTCTCTCCCAGTCCTGCAGCCAGAAGGGTCACAGCATGCTTGGTGTGCTCAGGTAGACCTGGGGTGTGAACCCAGAGCCTTCCTATGTGGCTTCCAGCAGCATTCAGCAGCACCTCTAATGACTGCACCATCACAGCCAGGTCACTAGCTCACTTTTTTCTAGATTTATTCTGGCCTTTAAAAAATTTATTTTTTAAAAAACAAAAAGTTTATTCAGTTCATTCCAAAAACATCGACAAAATAAATTTCAGTTGCAATTTCATGTGTACCAAAAATGAAAGGGATGGCTTACAAGTTAATGAAAATCTATAATTTTGTAAAAGATTGTAAACATTTTGCACACTAGTCAGACTTTTATTTTAGGCAAAGTGCTCTTTTGATGACAGATAAGTGAACAAATGCACACTATTCTGAACTATTTCAGACAATACAAGAAGTTTTTTTTTCCTTGTAAACAAGTTTATCATTTAGGATCTCTTTTTTTGTCTCACACCCACCGCTTCCTACCAACTACTTTCCCCCCTTACTGTCAATAGCATCCACCTCCATCCTTTCACCACCACATCTTCAGATCTTTCTACCTCTGCCATAAAGTGCAGATGATTGGTGCAAACTGAGTGGGGATATACAGCGTGTATCTTTTAAAGTATAGCTCACTTCGCTCAACATGAAATCTTCTATATCCATACATTTTGAGATGAATAATAGGATCTCATTCTTTCTTTTCTTTTTTTAAAGATTATTTAACTTTCTTTCTTTCTTTCTTTCTTTCTTTCTTTCTTTCTTTCTTTCTCTCTCTCTCTCTCTCTCTCTCTCTCTTTCTTTCTTTCTTCCTTCCTTCCTTCCTTCCTTCCTTCCTTCCTTCCTTCCTTCCTTTACTCCTTCTTTCCTTCCTTCCTCTCTTCCTTCCTTCCCACCTTGCTTTTTTCCTTTCTCTTTTTCTTCCTTCCTTCCCTCCTCCCTTCCTTCTTTCCTTTTTTTCTTTCTTTCTTTTTCTTTCTTATCAGAGAGGGACAGAGAGAGAAAGAGAAAGTGAGAAAGCAAGCCACCAGGTCCGGGACTTGAACTCCAGTCGGCCATGGGGGAGTTCAGCGCCCTTAATCACCATGCCACTGGCTGTCCCCAGATCCCATTTTTTCTTATAGCTGTGTAATATTTCGTAGTATATATATGCTTTTATATATACTAGTATATATATGTTTTTCAACCCAATCATCAGTTTTTGGACACTTAGTTTGGTTTCATGATTTGGCAATTATAAATAATGCTGCGATACACGTGTCTGTGCAGATGTTTTTCCAACTGAGAGTTTTCTTATCTTTTAGATACTAAGAAGTGGGATTGCTGGATCATATGCAAGTCTATTTGTAGGTTTTTGAGAAATCTCCATGTGCTTTACAAATAGTGACATACAACCTCTCATTGCCAACTTGACACATTCCATTTTTGTCCATATTTAACAACCTTGGCTGGTACTTTCAGAGCAAAGTTTAACGATACACATGTTGGTAGGCATGTTCCTCTCGAGATCCTTCTGTGTAACTCTGTTAAACTTGATCTGCATTTGAACAGATAGGATTTACTATGTGTGGGAAATGTTCATTTTGTCCTCCTTTTTAAAAATGTTTTTAAAATTTGCCAGAGGTGCATGTGTTTGCAGGGGGAAGAAGGAGAAGTGGGACAGGGAGGAAGAAAGAGAGAAAGAGACAACCCCCACAGGAAATGGTCATGCTACAATCACTTCTCCTTTCAAGATTTTGGGCACATACATGCACGCAGCATGCTTCTCAAGCTACTGGGTCTAGGATTCAAACTGTGCAAATGGCCATGTGGGAGCCAGCCACTTTAACTACCAGGCCACAGGCTGGTCCCATCTTTTTTAATATTTCATTGAGTAATTTTTTGTAAATCAAATATTGAATTTGTTGAATCCTTTCAGGATCTGTGGAAATGACTATACAATTCTTTTTGTTCCTAACTTTTTTAGAACTACAAGTTTCATTAATTATATTCATAGACATCTTAATATCTAATCTTTCTTGAATTTTTAGAGGGGAGAACATTTGATGCATGTGTATTTATTGAATATGCTGCTGGATTCCGTTTTCTAACATTTTACTCATGATTGGGACTGGTACTCATAAATGGGAATGGTCTGTGGGTGCCGAGTTTTGTACAGTAGCTTTGCATTTGAGGTATCAATGTTATGTAGAAGTTTTCTTTATTTTTTATTTGCCCTGGGACAGCTTAAATGGCATTGGAAATGGTCGTTCTATTTTGGAGAAATGTCTTACTAACCCAACGGACTGGACTTTTTCCTTGCTGTCTTGGGATGGCTCACTGACACCATACTCTACGTTTTTGAAAAGTCACCGGTTCAGACTTTTCGTGTCCCCTATAGTTAGTTCTTTGAGTCATACTATCTTAGAAAATGGTCTATTTAATCCAGGCTTTCAAATTTATTTTCATAAACATAGACAGAGTAGGCCATTATAATTCTTTAACTTTCATTAATATCTGGTTATTTCCTTCTTTCATTTTTATTTGTGTTTGATTCTTGATAAAGAAATCAAGGGTTGGGTAAATTTTTATTAGTTTATTTGAAGAAATAGCTTTTTAATTTTTTTAATTCCTAGAGGACACATGTGCTTGCCAGAGAGAGAGAGGCAGGGAGAAAGAGAGGGAGAAAGTACTACCAATCTCTTCTCCATTTCTCCATCTTGTTGGGATATTGGGCCTGCACGGACACTTGCCTGACGTGTTTTCAAAGCACCAAGACCAAGATTTGAACCACAATTGGCCATGTGGAATCTAGCTTCCTTACCATTAGGCTGCAAGGCTGGCCCATAGATTTTATCTTACATTTTTTCTCTAGCTAATAATTTCTGCTTTTATTTTTATTTCCTTCCCCCTGTTTGATAAGTGTTCTGTTCTTGTTTTCAATTTTGAGTTGGATGCTTAAATTATTTATTCTTTACATTTTTTAATTTCCATCTGTCATATGGCCTTTTTTGTTTTCTGATTTCATTGTTAATTTTTGGTCCCAATGCAGCATGATAAGCAAATATTTTTCACTACTATTTTGACTTTCTTTTTAAAGAAATTAAAGGTTGTTTTGTGTCTTACAATGTGGTCAACTCTGGCAGTGAAGGTCCATGGCTGCTGAGTAGGAGTGGGGAACAGAAGGAACCCCATGTCCCTCCTGTGCCTTTAGTGCATGCTGCCTACGGAAGCTTCCTGTGCTGAGCCCCCAGTCCACTCTCTTCTCTAATCTTCATGACCACCCCAACACCACAGTGGGAAAGACCAATGAGAGAGGAGGAGGAGGACTTAGTAGAAGACAGGGTTAGGATTCAGGGGGTGATCATCCTATGTGGCTGGCCCTCATCCTCAGCAAGATGCCCTAGCCCCTCTTCACCCTTCCTTTTTACTTTTTGTACTAATTTCTTTAGGAACCTAACCGGTCCAAGTCTGTATTTTGTGTCTATTCTGGCCTGCGGCTCCGGAGCCACTGAGGTAGGTTCCCTCATCACATGGTTTTGGATGTTCTTTTGGTTCTACCTTTTAGAATCACCGGCTTAGATGTTTCTCTTGTCTAGAATGGAGGTAGCTTTGCTGTGCGCCTCTTATTCTTCAGCAGAACAGGCCAGACTTCTTCTCATGGTATCAGTGACAGGGATCCCACAACAAGCAAGAGAGGCAGGCCCAAATGTGCAAGCACCCAGCAGGTCTCTAGCCACAAGACTAGCACTGATTTAAGGGATGAAGAAATAAGCTCCGTCACTCAATGAGAGGAACCATGAAATCATAATATAGTCATATTATCGACGAGAGCTTTGTCCTCGTGGACACTGTGGAATAAAGTATAAAGGCAGAGTAAGGAGCCAGGCAGTGGCACAGCAGTAACACAGCTGGATGTGCATGGGAAAGGTCCAGGGACCTTTCCATCTGGGACCTCTCTGGGCATGGAGGGCTTTCACATGTCTGGGCTCTGTCTCGGCTGAGGCAGGGTGGATTGCAGTATGATGGTCTCTTTCTGTGGGTTTCTCTCTCGTGGAAGAAATAAATGAATATACTTAAAAAAATACTTGGTAAAGATTTAAGGCCATTTTTGTAATCAGTCATAAAGTTCTTCCATATCTTCATTTGATTGTTTAAGGGCTTTTTAGTTTTTGTTTTGCCTAGCTGTGGGATACTCAATAGCTATTTTTATCCTTATGACTAGTTCCTACTGTGCATAACCTCAAAGCCTAGTGGGAAATTAAAACACAAGGTCCCTTGCTAAAAAAATTAAGAATTTCAAGACAGCAGAATATTAAACCTCAATGTGTGTGAGTCACATGCCTACTATGTGACCTAAAATGACCCTGCTATGATAAGAGCTAAGAGAATCTCCTTATTGACTCAGGTCTCAGGTTAGTCATCCCATCCTGACCTCACTACAACTGTTAGCTCTTACCTGCTTGTAAGAGTCCATCAAATGTCCGGCCAGCAGGTGGTGTGAAGGTTAAGGTGCTGGATGCCACATGCTAATTCTGTGGTTCAGGTCCCTACATGCGTGCCTGAATCCTGAGAGGAGAATGGAGGAGAAGCAATTGTGTCATGGCCGTCTCCCCAGGAGGGTGATTTCTCTCTCTCTCTCTCTCTCTCTCTCTCTCTCTCTCTCTGTGTGTGTGTGTGTGTGTGTGTGTGTGTGTGTGTATGTGTGTGTGTCTGGCAAGCACACTTGCACTATAGTAAACAAACAAAAAACAAACACACTGAGAAAACAAAAGTCCATCAGGTGTCCATTCTCTCTTCCTTTTCCAGAAGGAGTCTATATGCTCAAGGCTGTTATTTATAATGAGTTTCATGGAGCGGAAGTGGAGCTTGGGCCCTATTACATGGAAGTCAGCCAGGGGAATGTGTCTGTGTTCCTGAATTCCAGTAGTGTCCACAAGGATGAAGCTCTCATCTTCACTGGCTCCTCCGTGAATCCAGAAAGTAAGTCTGAGCAGCCAGGCTTCTGCTGTAAATGAAGCACAGCCTCTGTGCTTCATACCACTCACAGAACAGCAGTTCAGTACAATAGTCATCCTGTACCCTGTCCTCATTCAGAAAATGTTTATTGCAGAATACTGTGCTCTGGGGTGACCTGAGGTCTCAGTCTCAGGAATTTATAATTTAGTAAAAGTAGTAAGACGTACATATGACAAATAGGAGGTAGGACATACACCTGCCATCAGAAGGGCATGGCTAAGGGGCTCGGCGATCTCAGGATGTGGCAATCATGTGAGACTGTGGAGACAAGGGACGTCTGGGGTGGAGTTGGCATACTGATGGGGCTCGAGGCATGGGGTGGCTGTGAAGTGGTAGGTACAGGGGGCACAATTTGGGCACATAGTCTGGCCACAAGCCAAAGCACAGAGTTGAGGTCCAGGGGAGTGCTTGCGTGTGCCGGGTGCTCTGCTGCCTCATGCCTATCCCCTGTTCTCTACTTTGTCCTCACAGCCACCCAGTTCTGTAGAAGGAAAACCAAAGCTCAGAGGCCAGTGCGGTGGGAGTGGGGAACTCAGGCAGTTATTGTGAAGGGGAGTCACCCCGGACATTATAACAGAGTAAACAGGGAACCCACCAAGGATCCTCCTGGGGTGATCAGCATGAGTAGGTGGAATTAGTGAGGTTATACTGAACTCATTCACATAAGAAGGGTCTTCAATAACTCGTTCACATATTGACTGTACATTTTCCATATACTCAGCATGGTCTGGAATTTTCCATCCAAGAAATTTTGAAACACATGTGGAAGAGTGTTTCTACCCTAACTGTCCAGCTTGACTTGTCTTATGAGACTTACTGTCTTGTCTTATCTGAACTTGGAACGAATGAGCAGCATGTCTAACCAACATAAGAAAACAGTCCTTATAAATCCCTGCTGGTTCCCTGGCAGGATTTAGAATCAGAAGGTCTGGATTTTGTTTTGTTTTGTTTTGTTTTGTTTTGTTTTGTTTTGTTTTGTTTTGTTTGTTTTGTTTTGTTTTGTAATTGCTGCAGGACACATGCACTTTCCAGAAAAACAGAGCAAGACAAAGAAAAGCACGCCCAGCGGAGCATGGTTGAACTGTTATCCTCTCTTCTCCATCTCTCCATGCTGTTGGGATTTGGGTCATGCATAAATGTCCAGTGTTTTTTTCAAGCTGCGAGGGTCAGGATTTGAACCATAGTCGACCATGTGGAATCCAATTCCCTTAACCACAGGACTATTAGTTTGACCCAAAAGGACTGAGATTTAATCCAGTCCCATAGATTAGAAACTGGGTAACCTTTTGAAAATCTATAAACTATATTTTTCTCACACTTTTAACTATGAGCTTATGATCAGAATTGGTATATAGGCATTGTTAATGAGGCCATCTCACCCTTATTCAAGGATATTTGTTTTTAAGAAATTCTGATGCATCGACGATGTACAAAATGTTTGGTTCTACTTTTTTATGAATAAGCATTTCCTCTTTATTAAAAAAACTGCAGAAATATAGCAATAATAATAATAAAAATCTCATTTCTTAATATCCCTTTATGATAAATGATTATTCTAAATCCTCTTAAACATTACAGTCCCCTTCTAGAGTCTGATAAAGTGTTTGGTATCTGCCTCCTAATACATACAAAAATACATGCATATGCTATACATATATACATGCATATGTGTGTGGTGTGTGTGGCTTGTGTGCTCCATGTATGCTCTGTGTGCATATGGTGTGTAGAGAAATGTATAGTTGTATTGTATATGTGTGTGTATGTATATATTATATGCACATGTGTGTGGTGTATGTATATATTCTACCTGTGTGTGCGGTGTATGCGTATATTATATATGTATGTATATGCATGTTGTATGTGTATATTTTATATATGTTTGTGGCATTTGTGTATATTATATGTGTGTGTGGAGTATGTGTATGTTTTATTTGTATGTGTGTGATGTATGTGTATTGTCTACATGTGTGTGCATTTGTGCTGTGTGTGTATATTCTAGATATATGTGCATTGGTATGTATGTTTATTATATGTTTGTGTCTAGTGTATGTGTATGTTAGATATGTGTCTATGTGTATATTTTATGTGTGTGGGTATGTGTGTTGTGTATGTATATTCTCTATATATGCATGTGGTATATGTGTATATAATATATGTATGTGTGTGACATATTTTATATATGTGTGTTCATGTGTGGTGTATGTGTATATTTGTGTGTGTGTGTGTGGTGTTTATGTAAATTATGTGTCCGTGTGTAGTGTATGTATGTGTGTGTGTGCATATGGAGAGAAAAAGCTTGTGTTACACTTAGAGGACTTAAACGCACGAGCCTTACCTTGGATCCCCATTTAAGACCCTCTGGACGTACAGCCTACTTATGGTATGGATTGGAGACATACTTAATAACAAAGCCATCTAGCAAAGGAATTCACCTATTTCAGAGGAACTAGCATATTTACTGCTAGCTAGGGAGTTCTTGGGAGAGACAGAAAGCCTTGACTTGGAATCTTAGTGAGAAAAATTCTGTGACCAAGTTCCTGTTTCCCAGGTCTGTCTGATTTCAGAGCACGTGCTTAATTTTGAAATTCATAGAGGGAAACGTTGACCACGCATTGCAGTTCATATACGTTTTCCAATTGTTCTTTCTCTCACTCAGGCACTGTCGTTGTGCACCGTTTCTCACCCAGTTCTTCATATAATGTGTCCTTCATCTCACAGACCCAAGTGGGTGACAGCCAGGCTTGGCTCGGTGTGACCATTCGGTACAAGATGCAACGTACGTTGTCCTTCTCATCCCAGATGCCAGGAACTTCCCCACCTGGCCCGTGGAGGTTTCGAAGCCACACACAACACTAGGCTCTGTTCCCGGCTCTGCCTTGGGTCCCGCTGTTTGCCCTTGAACAGGCTCTATTCGTTGCAGCTCATTCTAGGACTTCTCTAGAAAACAAAAGCAGTCAGACACTCACTGCAGGGAGAGAAGGAGGGTTGGTGCCCTGGCATCCACCAGCTCCACAGACTGTAGCCTTGAGCTGAACTCCAAAAGCTGCAGTCACCCTTGAACTATGACAATGGGCAAGCGCTGCCTGCTGGGTCCTCACAGCTGCTCCTTGGCAAGGCCTGCACTCCCAAGTCAAGGCCTGTTGAGCATCACTCTAGGGCAACTGTCCTCAACCTTTTTGGCGGCAGAGTCCAGTTTCGTAGAAGACAATTTTTCCATGGAATGAGATGTCAGGGTATTATTTCAAGATCACACAAACACATTACGTTTGTTGTTCACTTTATTTCTGTTATTACTTTATACATAACAATATATAATGAAATAAACAATTCACTATAATGCAGAATCAGTGAGTACCCTGAGCTTGTTTTCCTGCAACTAGACAGTCCCATCTGGGGGCTCCTATGAGATTCTAGTACTGCCACTGACCTGACGGGAGGTGGAGCTCAGGAGGTAATGTGAGTGATGGGGAGCAGCTGTAAATTCAGATGAAGCTTCTCTCGCTGGCCCGCCACTCCCTCCTACCATGCCACCTGGTTTCTAAGGGGCTTTGGTTTGGACCAGTACTGGTCCCTGGACCACAGGTTGGGAACCCCTGCTCTAGGGCGCAACTGTAGGGGAATGTGGAGACAGCCTTTTCTCTAGATGGATTCCAACCCTTCCGTGCTGAAGTGCCCATGCCTCCCTATCTTTCACCACAGCTGTCTCTGTCTACACCAATGGAACTGTGTTTGCTGCAGACACGGACATCATGTTTACAGCTGTTACCAAGGAAACAACACCCTTGGAGTTTGCATGGTATTTTGGAGATGGACCACCAGTGAGAACAACTTTAAGAATCATTAAAAAGAGACTCAGCATCCCCCAAAGGTTCGTCAACAATGGTTGTCACGATGGGGGCTGTTTGTCACGCCACCTGCCCTCCGCCGGGAGGTTACCGAGATCACTCTCAGGGTGCTACGTTGGTATTATAATGAGTATAAGTGCTTCTGTGGCTCCAACTCAAACTCAAGGCTTGAAGGAGGAGGGACACACTGCCTTGAAGTAGTGAGAGCCTTTGAAATATGACGGTCCGTCTGTCACCAACGTGGCCTACGGCCTTCCTCATCTAAAGATGTGCAATCATCCTTGACAGGTCTCTTTAAGAAGAATTAATGATGAGTGGTTGGTTGAAAGTGTACTCTTTTCTCCCTAGTAACATGAAAATCACTGAATAATTCTTACAAATGAAATGCACACCCGTACTCCAGCCTTCTCTCAAGGTCACGTGGAGACTGTCCAGCTGTGACCAGGTCCTTACCTCTCTGTCTGCCTTTCTTGCCCTCCTGGCTCCCTCCTGCAGGTATCATGTGACAGTCAGGGCTGCCAGCAGACTCAGCAGTGTGGTCTCCGAGCCCCACCTCATCACGGTCCAGAAGAAAATCATAGCCAATAGGCTAATGTCTGCCCCATCAGCTCTGGTGAACACCAGTGTGACCTTCGAGTGCAGAATCAACTTTGGCACGGATGTTGCTTACTTGTGGGACTTTGGAGATGGCACCGTCAGCCCAGGCCACAGCTCCAGCAGCCACATGTACAGCAGGTAAGTGCTGTATCCCGAGAGCACTCTGCAGCGCTGGGCTTCCCCACAGCCAAGCACACTGCCTTTCTGCTTGCGTAGGTAACAGGTAACTAACCCATGACAAGACCCACTGCAGCTCTCAAGGAGCTTTGGTGCAGGGGAAAGTCAAAGAGAAAGAGAGGCTTTCAGGACAGGGCTGCCATGAAGGAGGGATGGAGTGTGAGGAGACAGCCCATTCATTGGAACCCAGAGACCCTGCTCCCAGAGGCATTTGCATAGGAGCAGAAATGAGATCTTGGATAGGCCTTTGCCATAGGGAAGAGTCGGGATAAAGTTCCGAACAGAGACAGCAACTGATGGAGAGCAGGAGTGATAGGCTGGGTGGATGAAGAGAGGGGCCAGATTGGGAAGGGCCTTGGAATCCAGCTGAAGAACGTGAGCGCCATCCTTTCACAGCATTTCTGAGTTCCTCTATTTGCCTGGAGCAAAGCATTTCAGACATGAAAAAGTGGCATGGCTGCCTGTGTCCAAAATGCACGTAGTATTTCCTGGGGGTGGAGGGCAGGTAGTGGGAGTGGGCCCCTGGGGAGCGCAGTGTATACCACAGGATGCTGCTTCCAGGTTAGGTGTGTAATGGAGTGCAGACCAGAGGGGCCCTCTGGACAAAGAGAGCTTGACCCCAGGGGATTGTGTCCTCCAGGCTGGGCCTCCAGCCAGCAGAGGCCTTTGTGCTGGTGTCAGGAAATACTAGTGTACAGAAACATCTAGAAAGTTTGGTCAGCAGAGCCAAAGAGAGATGGCAGGCCTGCTGATGTGGAGCTTTCACAAGAACTCTCCCACAGACTCTCCACGTGTTGATGGGGACTGTGTGTAGTCCCCTCCCTAGCAAAGACTTGGGGTTTCCCCCGGACGTGGGTTTTCAGGTGAGGAAGGAAGTGAGAAGCTGTGTCTGGTAGATCAGATACCCAGCTGCCAGGGACTAGCTGGGCTGTACCCTGTGGTCCAAAGTCCCAGGGCCCCACACTGCCCTGGAAATGATGCCTGCCTGGCACATTCACTGACTGGCATTTCCCCCTGGGACCTCGAACACCCAGAGGCCCTCTGGTCTCTGCAGAAGGACCTGCTTAGTTACAGGAGCCCACAATGGAAAGTGCCTTTCTGGTCCTTACAAACTAGAATTGGTGGTCTTCGGATGTGGCAATTCTGTTTCAATTCAAATTGTTAAGTGATTATCTGTTTTCATCATCTGCAAACCAATCTGTATGTCCTTAGTGAAGCACGACCTGCTAGCTTGTGAGTCCCTGGCCTGCAGACCCTCCACAGCTGAGACTCTCTGCCCTCCCCCCTGGGTGGGACTCGGGTCCAGGCTGTGGATTTATCCTGTCTCTTGAGTTTGTAGAACCCTAAGAAATTGATCAACAAAACCAATCTATGGAGCAGGGACTAGAACAAGAAGTCCTTGAAATGCCCAGAAATGCCCACTCTAGATCAGGGTGTCACATCCTACACTGGGAAAACTCATGAACTGGCCTGGAGTCAATGGGGACAGGCTGTGGCTACAGGGAGGGCAGCCCAAAGGAGGAAGAATGAGCTCTCACGTGAATGTGTTTCTTCTGTGTGCGCGTGAGGCCAGCCTGGGGTTTGGTACCTCCCTGATTCACTCTGGGTAGGCAGCCACCCTGTCAGCTGGAGGAGGAATGGCCTCTCTGGAAATCAGCCTTGTGGCCCTGCCCCCTTGTCCTTGCTTGGTGACTGACCTGCCATCCAGTAGTGTCGTTACACAGAGGGGGCTGGCCATAAGGGGATAAGAGCCTGATCCACGACTTCACCCTGCGTTTCTGTGCTTCCTGCCCACCCAGGGAAGGAGAGTTCACAGTGGAGGTCCTCGCCTTCAATAACGTCAGCACTGCCATCCTGAAAAAGCACCTTTTCATCACGCGTGAGCCCTGCCTGCCGCCGCTGGTGAAGAACATGGGTTCTGGGAAGGTCCAGGTAGGGCCAGACCTGACTCTCACTTTCCAGAGTCTTCCCCTCGGACTCCTACAGGGGCAGAGCTTGAGCGGCCAAGCCAGGCCTTGTGGAGTTCCTCCTGCTGCATTTTGCACAGGGAGCTCCTAGAGGTCCTCTAGCGGGAAACTGTGGGTAGGGACTGGGGGGTGGGGAGCTACCCAGCTGAGGAGGGGAGGACCCATAACTGGCCTGTGAGCAAGTCCCATGATGCCTGTGTTACTCGGGCATTCAACTGGGCTCACTCTGAGGACGCCACCCCTTTTTCTGATTGTACAGAGAACTGTAGTTTAGAGTTTTTCAAAGAAAGGAAAATTTTAATATAGGGACACCAAAATGAAGAAAATGATGGCTTATTTGTTGAGCACCTGTTACAGGTTAGGAAAAACAGGATTGCTTTTGCTTTCATTCCTCTGAATTCTTCGATTTAAAGTGAATTTTCCTTTCTAGGAGAAAGTTATCCAAATGACACACAGAAATGAAAATCCCTGCCTGAACTGCATTTGCCAAGATGTTTTTGGTGATATCTGAACCCCGGGAAGTCAGGCGGTTGGCCCCGTTGACCTCAGATCCCAGCAACCCCAGAATGTGAGGGTGCAGGTTAATGAGCATGGGCAGCTCAGCGCCCAGGGCATTCCCCTCACCCCAGGCAAGACCCCTGCAGGCATTGGCTGGGCAGTGTGCCCTAGGGAGCCTGCACTCTGGGTAGCACATGAGCCAAGGCCAAGGCCACAGCTGGAAGGAGTTCAGACCCCAGGGAGGGCTCCTGCCTTGTCCTGACTCTATTGTCAGGTCATATCAAGGGACACAGTTATTTTTTTAGTTTTTTTTTATGTGTAAAATATGTTCATTTTTTAGTTTTCTTTCTTTCTTTCTTTCTTTTTTTTTTTTGGAGAGGTTTTTGCTATGGGGCGCGTGCGCTCAGCAGAAAGACAGACAGAGACAGAGAGACAGAAAGCGAGAAATCACCCCCAAGGGGGGATGGCCACACCACAATCTCTTCTCCTCCATTCTCCTCTTGGGATCTTGGGCACACACGCACACGTGCCCAGTGTGAGTTTAAGCAACCAGGTCTGGGACTCCAACCGCGGTCGACTACATGGGAGTCCAGTGACATAGTCATTATGCCTATTGCTGGTCCCTGAGTTTTCTTATCTGTAAAACAAAATTCCTTCTCTTCTATTCTCCTCTTGGGATTTTGGGCACACATGCACATGCTTTACACATTTGCTTTATGTTTTCTTTACACGTTTGTTTTATACTTTTTTTTTCTTTTTAATTTTTGCTATAGTTATATGCACTTGAGGAAGGAGAGAGACAAAGACAGAGAAAGAGGGGGACAGTAAGAAATCCCCCCCCCCCCAGAAGCATGACCATGCCACAATCCCTTCTTTTCCATTCTTCTCTCAGGATTTTGGTCATGCAAGCACACATGCCCTGTGTGATTTTCAAGCTGCTGGGTCTGGGACTCAAGCCATTTGAGTCAGCTATGTGGGATCCAGCTACCTTAACCTCCATGCCACTGGCTGACCCTATTTTGTACCTTTTTTTGTAAGTATAAAGAATAGAATGAGTCATCTGTAATCCAACCACCAGGAAATAGCACTGTTAATCATCTGTCTTCAATACTTTTCTTTTTTTTTTTTTTCCTTCTCTTTTGCTGTAGGGTATGCATACTCTCTGGAAAGACACAGAGAGACAGTGAAAAGAAAGTTGAGAAATCACTCCCTAGGTTGCCACACTGCAACCCCTTCTCTATTCTCCTCTCAGGATTTTGGGCACACATGCACATGTACCCAGTATGCTTTTCAAGATGGAGGTCTGGGACTCAAACTGCAGTTGGTCATGTGGGAATCCAATGCCTTAACCATTACACCACCTGCTGGTCTCTTCAGTACTTTCCTTTTTTTCTTTTTCTTTCTTTCTCTTTCTTTCTTTCTTTCTTTCTTTCTTTCTTTCTTTCTTTCTTTCTTTCTCTTTCTTCTTTCTTTTTTTAAGAGAAATTTTTGCTATAGGGCACCTGCTATAGGGCATCAGAAAGACAGAGAGACAGAATGCAAGAAATCAGTCCCTTAGGGGGCTGACCATGCCATAATCTCATCTCCTCCATTCTCTTCTTGGGATTTTAGACACACGCACACATGCGTCCAATGTGAGTTTTAAGCCACTGGGTCTAGCAGCTGACTATGTGGGAATCCAGTGAAGGAAATATTACGCCATCTACTGGTCCCCCCTTCAGTACTTTCCTAAGTCTTTTATATGTGGAGTGTGTATGTATATGTATGTTAAAGACAAAATGTGAGTGTGAGTGTGTTAATGACGACACTGGGGTCACTGGGGTGTAGTGCAACTATTAGTCTTGTAATTCAGTAATCTTTTGACTCTACAGTTGTGATGGTGGCATAAGGGTGAAACGTGTATGAACTACACATCATCTAACAATGCTTCATTGTTGAGCATTTGTTGTTTCCCGTTTCTGGTACCACCAATGACTGGAGGTGACATCTTGCGTGCACATGGAGTGATACATCCGTGACCTTTCTGGGATAATAATCCCTTCGAGTTACAGAGCCGGAGGGTGTCCCCTCTCCCGGACCTTGCCCAACCTCACCAGCACTCTGCAGTGTGGCGTACACCCTCACCCCCACTGGGCTGTTTGTATTTTTTAGTGTTTGTTGTTAATTAATGGGCTAAAAATTGACATGTCAGTATTAAAATTTGTTGTAATTCATATAAGTCTGGGAAATTTCGGGAAATTTCGTAGAATGGTATCATATTTATAGTAGGAACAATAAAAATATGAGAAATCATTTAAATGATGATTGAAGTCACTTAAAGAATGCTTACGATAAAATTCCATTTATAATAAGCACCAATATTCCTTAAAATACCACTTCTCAACTTCCTCTAGAAGTTTTTCCCTTTCCCTTTTTTTTTTTTTTTTTGGAGAGGTTTTCGCTATAGGGCACGTGCACTCGCCAGACAGACAGAGACATAGAGACAGAAAGCGAGAAATCACCCCCCAGGGGGGATGGTCACGCCGCAATCCCTTCTCCTCCATTCTCCTCTCGGGATCTTGGGCACGCACGCACACGCGCCCGGCGTGAGATTTAAGCCACCGGGTCCGAGACGCGAACCGCGGTCGACTATGTGGGAGTCCAGCAACATAGCCATTACGCTAACTGCTGGTTCCCTCCCTTTCCTATTTTTATGGAATCTTCAAGAAAAAGGTGCCCCATGGAGAGCACTTGTACCCACTGTGGGCCACAGGATTGGAGGTGTCCTGGCTGGGCAGAATCTCTTTCCTTACATCCCCTCGCCTCACTTGCTCAGGGACTAATCTAACTTGAATAGAAAATAGGGGCCAAAGGTGACATGGTGGTTAAGGTGCTGGACTCCCACATGGCCAACTACAGTTCAAGTCCTGGACCTGGTGGCTTGAAAATCATGCTGGGTATGTGTGCATGTGTGTCCAAAATCCCAAGAAGAGATTAGATAAGGGATTGCTGCGTGGCCACCCTCCTGGGGGAAATCATTTCTTGCTTTCCCTCTCTCTGTCTCTCTCTGGGACATACATGTACTCTATGGCAAAATCCTTAAAAAATAAAAAATAATTTAAAAATAGAGAAAGCAGGACCAGCTGGTGACATAGTGGTTAGAACAGCCCAATCTCACATGGCTGACTGTAGTTCAAGTCCTGGACCTGGCAGCCTGACACATGTGTGCGTGCATGCCCAAGATCCCAAGAGGAGAATGGAGTGGAAAAGATTGCAGCATGGCCTATCCCTCAGAGGGTGATTTCTCACTTTTCCTCTTTCTGTCTTTAGAGAGTGCTGTATAGCAAATTAAAAAAACAAAAATGGAGAAAGCAAATAATTTTATTTTTTATTCGGTGGATTGTTTTGTTGGCTTGTTTAATTGCCAGAAGGTGCATGCACTTGCCAGAGAGAGAGGGAGAGAGCGAGAGCATGGGCAAGCACTTCCCAGTGGGGCACAGCCACACCACAGTTCTTCTCTCTCCATTTCTCCATCCTATCAGGATTCGGGGGAAGCACGCACATGCTTCTGGCATGTTTTTCAAGGTGCTGGGACTGGGACTCGAACTGTGGTTGGTCACATGGAATCCGACTCCCGGTGCAGAGGGCTTAACCACTGCACTACAGGACTGACCCTCTATTGATTTTTTTAAATTAACTTTCGGGCATTTAGAAATTTAAAATTTTCATGTATTCAAATCTGTTAACTGCTAGGGTGCTCTTTGTCAGGGGCTATGAAAGGATCATGAACTCACAGAGAAAATGGATAGGAAAGGTTTATTCACTTTTCACAATTGGAAAGGAGCCAGATGCAGAGAGAGTTACATTGGCCTCAAAGGATGTCAACAAGGAGCTTTTATTGGGACTTACAGAAAGGAAGGGGATATGGTTGGATATGGCGATCCTGGGACAGGACATCTGTTGGTCCTTGAGATGTTTTCTCAGGATGTCATCTCTGGCTGCTGTGGTTTTGGTGCCCAGCTGTTGATGGGTGTTACAATCTTATGTCTGAAGGCACAATTGGATAAAGTCAGCCATCTGCCATGAAGACTAGGAAGGGTCAACTAACTTGGGAAGAAAAAGGGAGGAGCAGAAAGAATGTCTGAAGCATAGGGCTTTTAGTTAAAATACTGAGTCATCTGAAAAGTCATAATGTATTTTCCTGTGTTTTTCTATGCAAACATGTGTAATGACTTTTCCAATGACCCAGTAACTACAGTGTCAGTGAGACATTGAGTTAACTCTTTTCCATCCCTAAGGAGCTTGGGGAACATTTAACTCTTTTATTAACAATTTTCTTTCCTATTTTCTTATTAATTTTGTGCAAGCGTTTTCTCCATTATAAATATGTAACTATTGATATTTATTTATTCTTTCTTGTTGTTTTTTTTATTTTTACTTGTTCATTTTTGCCCATAAAACAGATGTAGTCTATATAGTATTATATAAACAAACATTTGGAAACGTACAATTTCTAATCATTTATCATTGCATTAGATATGGTGGACAGTTCACTGAGGTATTGTCTCTTTTCCGTACCTAGATCTGGAGGTCTCAGCCCATGAGATTAGGGGTGACGTTTGAAGCTGCCATTCTCTGTGATATTTCCCAAGGCCTTTCTTACACCTGGAGCTTTATGGACTCAGAAGGGTCTCCTGTGCCCCTCCCTGCTGCTGTCAATATTCACAGACAGACCATTGTCCTCCCAGGCTACCTGCTGGAGTACGGGAACTATACAGCCCTTGCCAAGGTGGGTTCACTGACAGTTCTCCTGGGGCCCAGAGGCGGTGCTGCCTCAGCCTCAGAACCAGAGCTCAGCATGTGTGACTCTCAACCCGTTTGTCCAAGAAAGGAATATATGTGGATAGGATTTTAAGAAAAATATTGAGTTCCCCCAAGAGAACAATTTATTTTCCAATTCATGTAGAAACCTTCTTGTGTACCTACTTTAAGTAGCCCTGTGTGAGTACGGGGATGTTGGAATACTTGACACTGCAACTGAGGAGCTTATCACCTGAAAGGAAGGGGATGCCAGTCAGAGTACAGGGCCATGCCAGAGGCATCCACGTGACCACCTGGCACTTGGGTCCTCAGCAGATACTCGGTGCATTTTAGCTGGAAAAATGGTGACAGTATGTGGGTCAGAAGAGGGAGAGGTAACTTCTATAAGAGTAGTCTTCTTGTCCTAGACAAGAGTCTGTTCCAGGCATAGAAAGTATGTTGGGGATGGTGCAGGGACAATAGCTTGGCAGAAGCTAGACAGACCAAGAATGTGAGCAGACTTTGGGGGCAGAGAGAGCTGGGAGCAGACTGCAGGATGGGGAAGGCCAAGCAGAGGAGAAGTGATTTGAAAATGGACTAAGGCTCCCCAAAATCCCTGCTGTGAAGGAGCTTTTCTGTTAATCTGTGAGCCTGGGCCCCTCCACAGGGGCCATCAGCACCAGAGTGGTGTCACCCTTGATTAAGAACAGTCCCACGGCACCCATGTGTGGATGTTGCAGTCTGGGCAGGCCCTGCAAAGCCTCCAAATCTTCCTCTCAATTTCCATGCTCACCTCACTGTGCTCAATGACTAGTGCTGAGTGACAGAGTCCTGCAGTCACACTTTCTTTCAGTAATTCTATTCTAGGTGCAGGTAATGGGAAAACTCAAGGTTTGCAAACAGGATGCATACTTCTTTTTGAAAATGTGAACTGGGAAAGATTTGGAAACAGATTGAAGGATGGGACATAGGCGAATATTCAATAGTGAGCTCAAGAAATTGCAGAGACTAGAATGGGCAGGGGGTGTGCTAAGTGACACCGGGTGGGTCAGGACAGATGTTGGGCTGTGGGAGCATGCACCCTGCTGGGGTGACTATTAAAACTCCAAGGGACAATGCAGTGCAGGGGAGGTGGGCTGCTCTTCACTTCCTGAGGAACACGAAGCGCCTCTACCACCATGTGCTGGGGAATGATGAGAGGATTAGTAAGGCGCTTGCATACGTGCTGCATTTGCTGAGGGTGAGGGTGCATGAGAGCCACAGCTATAAATGTCATTCACACCCAGACTGGCTGTGAGTCCCGAGCAGGGCTGTAATGAGGAGGGCATCCTTTGTTGAATATTTAATGGGGTTGGGAGCACGGTGGGCCATGGGGTCGGTCCTAGTGAAGCAGGTGGGCTGTGAGCTGAGTGGTGGGCAGTGAGGCTGGAAACAAGCATGGAGTCTTCCAAAGATGGTGGGAAGGTAGAAGTGATAAGAGAAGGCCGGGGCAAATGGCAGCTTCAGCACTTAGCAGCTGGAGTTGGTACTTGAGGGAGAGTGTCCTGGAGGGCAGGAGCTGGATCTGGGGGTATCTGAAAGCCGGTGCAGAGCCCAGTGCAGAGAGGCTGCCCAAGCCAGTGCCTGCTGGGAAGCCAGAGTCCTCGGAGAGCAGAGGAGGAACTGGGGCTTGCAAGAAGGTCAGAGTTTGGAATCTCTAGACAATTTGTTACGCATCAAGAGGATTCGTGTTACCTGTTTTGCTTAATTTTAATTCTAATAGTGAATGGAAATATTAGTGGAAATCTTTTATTACTTATATTCCTAAACAATCACCCTTCCTGATACAGTCTGCGTTTCTGCTTGGTTGGTCAGTTTTTATCTTCACTGTTCACTGCTACATGGGCAAGAGCACGTAGGTTTCAGTATCTACCACCAACTGTGGGGTCCCTCTGCCGCTGCATTTCCTGGAAGCAGATTCCTAAGGGGAGGTTCAGGCCAGACTGAAGTGGTCCACAGGCAGGACCCTGGGAGGTTGTTGTGGGAACCCTCTTCCATAGCTCCAGCTTCCAGGGACCCAGGTTGAGGCATGATTCTAGAGAGGTGCCCCCAGACGTGCTGTCTAGCCAGAGAGGCTTCTCACTGGTGACTGCATGGTCTGGTCCTCAGCTTTGAAGACCAGAAGTACGTGGTTACTGTAGGATGCAATTCCTCTTTAGGGCTGATTCATGCTGTGCATGGTCATAGTGAGTGTGAAATGGCAGTGTGGCCAAGGGGCTCCCTCTCCGTGTATCATGTGTGCATGGGCCTGCCGGAGGTGTGGCGAGGAGGTGGGGCGAGATCCTTGTAAGACTAGGCTCTGAGCCTGGCGGAGGGCTCACATGCGCCCTCTGCTGGCAGGGGTCAGCGATGGGCCTAAGCGTCTGTGCTCTGTGGCACCATTGGTTGGTTTGGCACATTTCCTCCTTAGAATGGGCCCCTGTTTGTCTTTCTCTAGGCCCTGGGCCTTCTGACAGACAGGTGCTTTTGCTGTTTCTGCTCTTACCATTGTCTGGTCCATGTAATAGCCGTGCCCTCTGGTTTCCAGAGCTCCTTGGCCCCACTGCAGCTCCCCACGTCAGGCTTGCTCTGTCCTTCATAGGCGTGAATGCTCCTGGGAGCTGGGGTGGCCAAGCAGGCAGAGGTGGAGGTGTTAGTTGGAGTTCCGATCATGCAGTCGCTTTGTTGTCTTTGGTCCCACTCCAGAAGCTGGCCAGGTGGAAGTGCATGTTTCCCTGTGAACAAAGTCCACAGTGACCACGGCTGAGCCCAGTGGGTGCAGCAGAAAATGTTGTAGTATGTTTATTGAAGGGACATCAGACCTCTCAAAGAACACTTTAAATGCCTCATATAAGAAATCTTTTACTACTCCCAATTTTAAAAGTGTGTCTTAAGTATCATTTACCTTTTTTTTCCATTTTGGCCAGGGGGTGCCTATACTTGCCAGAGGGAAAAACCACCCTGCCATCCTTTTCCCGCCATTTCTCCTTCCCTTTAGGATTTTGTCAGGCACGCACCAGTGTGGCCAAGGGGCTCCCTCTCCGTGTATCATGTGTGCATGGGCCTGCCGGAGGTGTGGCGAGGAGGTGGGGCGAGATCCTTGTAAGACTAGGCTCTGAGCCTGGCGGAGGGCTCACATGCGCCCTCTGCTGGCAGGGGTCAGCGATGGGCCTAAGCGTCTGTGCTCTGTGGCACCATTGGTTGGTTTGGCACATTTCCTCCTTAGAATGGGCCCCTGTTTGTCTTTCTCTAGGCCCTGGGCCTTCTGACAGACAGGTGCTTTTGCTGTTTCTGCTCTTACCATTGTCTGGTCCATGTAATAGCCGTGCCCTCTGGTTTCCAGAGCTCCTTGGCCCCACTGCAGCTCCCCACGTCAGGCTTGCTCTGTCCTTCATAGGCGTGAATGCTCCTGGGAGCTGGGGTGGCCAAGCAGGCAGAGGTGGAGGTGTTAGTTGGAGTTCCGATCATGCAGTCGCTTTGTTGTCTTTGGTCCCACTCCAGAAGCTGGCCAGGTGGAAGTGCATGTTTCCCTGTGAACAAAGTCCACAGTGACCACGGCTGAGCCCAGTGGGTGCAGCAGAAAATGTTGTAGTATGTTTATTGAAGGGACATCAGACCTCTCAAAGAACACTTTAAATGCCTCATATAAGAAATCTTTTACTACTCCCAATTTTAAAAGTGTGTCTTAAGTATCATTTACCTTTTTTTTCCATTTTGGCCAGGGGGTGCCTATACTTGCCAGAGGGAAAAACCACCCTGCCATCCTTTTCCTTTCCCGCCATCTTCCCTTTAGGATTTTGTCAGGCACGCACATGCACCTGGTATAGTTTTCAAGCCTCTGGGGCTGGAACTCGAACTAGTGTTGGCCATGTGGGATTCAGCTCTCAATTCAGTCCTTAACCACTGCACACAGGGCTGGCCCTCATTTCCATTTCTTGAAGTCTATGATGTATTTGGGGGTTAGAAGAAGTCAAAGCCATGGAAAAGTTCACAATGGACAGAAGCTAGTTGTTTATTTTGACAAATACTGTTTAGTTGGAGCCAAGAATGCAGATAGACTGTTTCCTTCCTGATTTTGAGAGGAGTGTGGAGCCCCTGGGAATGAACACCTGCGTGCTCCTGTGTGACAGCCCCTTGTCTCTGGCCATGCAGGTGCAGATCAAAGGTAGAGTGGTGTACAGCAACTTCTGTGTGGGCGTGGAGGTGTGGGCCAGGGCCCCGGTCAGCGTGATCTCAGAGGGCACACACCTGTTTGTCCCCAGGACTGCCGCCTCATCCATCATCCTCAGGGGGTCGCAGTCCTTTGACCCTGACCGTCCTGGGACCACTCTCAGGTAAGTACCACAACGGTGTGCTGCCTCTCAGATTCGCCTTCTCCAAACTCAGGCTCTGGAACACTGGGAGGGTTTGTTTTAGGATTCTGCCACAATCACTTAAAATTTTTCAAGTGCATAGGTTTCAGAAGTTGAACTGTTTGCAACATGAGGGAATGTCAGAAAGGGTAGATGTAAGATGTGAGTGGGTTTTTAAGGTGGTGTGTAAAGTATGATCTATTTTGAAATGTGATGTTGAAACATCATCTTATTTTTACAATTCTTTTACAATTCTTGGTTGGTAAAATGCATTTGGTGTGTGGGAGGCTTGATTTCTATGTGTCACACAACTTCCTGTAGAGGTGTGTCTTGCTATTGGGGACCCCAGCTGGATCTTGGTCCGCTTCTCTGTCCATACCCTTCCAGGTGGCCTCACCATGGTCCCGATGTGATCCACCTATGTGCAATAACTTCTGTTCGTGTCCCCTGCCCATACGCTCTTGGACCCCAGGCTGTTTGTCTCTGCCCCTTCAGCACCCTGTCTGGTGCCCAGAGACATTTCAGCCATAGAACTGCCCCCTCTGCTCAGTCTTCCTCACCTCCACCCATGGAAGGACCTCTGCTCAGGCTGCCATGTTGGTGGCATCTTCAGCTTCTCCCACACTTCACGGCCCATCCCTCAGGACGCCTCCTGGCCTTCTCTCCTACCCCAGCTGTGTACTCCTTCTGTGCTGGCTCTGCCTGAATGACCAGCTCCAGGTTCATCTCCACCACTGTCTCCTTGAGGTCTCCTGCACCTCCATTCCCTACTCCCTGTACCCCTTTTCCTGAGAAGGGGATGACAGAGTCTTCTAAAACAAGTTGGAAGAAACCAAGAGGGAGCTTCAAAAAGTTTGTGGGAAAATGGAATTAAAGTATGAGTTTATTTTGCTGCAAAAGAATTATGTAATACATGCATAGCTTTTTCATAATATGTATTTTCCATGAACTTTTTGAAGATCCCCTCATACGTTACCATGCCAGCCCTCCAGCACTGCTTTTTTTTTTTTTTGGAGAGGTTTTTGCTATAGGGCTCGTGCGCTCGCCAGACAGAGACGTAGAGACAGAAAGCGAGAAATCACCCCCCAGGGGGGATGGCCATACCGCAATCCCTTCCCCTCCATTCTCCTCTCGGGATCTTGGGCACGCACGCACACATGCCCGGTGTGAGTTTTAAGTCACCGGGTCCGGGACACGAACCGCGGTTGACTACATGGGAGTCCAGCGACATAGCCATTACGCTAACTGCTGGTTCCCGCTCCAGCACTACCTTTTATTCTGCATTAAGGTCAGTGTCCTCAGGCTGCTGTGAAGCCAGTGTGGCCTGTCCCCCCATCTCCCATCTAACTGTGGTGCCCAGACCTTTCTGCTACCCTCAACACACACTCTCCCTCAGCTCCTTGCAATGGGAATCTTTTCTGCAAACTTTTGTCACCACCCTCTTCCTTCAGTTGGAACTGAGACATCACCTCCTTAGAGAGGTGTGCCCAAAGACCCTCACTTAAAAGATCACAGTCCTGCCTCGATTTGATGGTCTTCCTCCATAGTAGTCTCCTCCCTGCCCTGTGACATCAATCACTTGGTCACGTATTACAGTCCCTGTCAACTGTACATCCCCCATTGAGCATCAGCTCCAGGAGGGCAGGGCTCTCATTTGGTATATCTCCTGCACTTGAAACATCTCACTGTTCAATGTACAGTGAAAAGTGTGCATTCTGAAAAACACAGTGGAGTCACTTTGTTTTTGTAAGCCCCATAGGATCACACGCCTGTTTTCTATATTCCAGTGAAGCCAGAGCTTCTCCCTGGGTCACCTCGTCTGTCTAGTTGGCTCTGGGCACAGCCCCAGCCAGCTACGTGCCTTCCTTTCCCTCAGACTCCCATTCAAGGATACCAGGGCTGCATCATGTTTGTCTTTGCACCATCATTCTGCCCCAGAATGGTGCCCTGACACAAGAGCTCAGTGTGTGATCACCAAAATGAGAAGCATTTGCTCCCTGGGACTGAGGACTATCCCAGCCAAGTCCTGCTGGCCGCTGTTCCACCGAACTTGTGAGCTGGACCTGCAGGGCTGCACTGGTCAGCGGGGAGGTTAATGGGCATTGAAGCACCACCCTGTACAGGCTTTGAAAACAGATCTAGAATGTGGTACCTGCAAGCTGGACAGGGCAGTGTACCTTTGAAGGTCAGTAGCAATTCAGACTTGGGTAGCACCTGCAGTAGGGACTCACAGTGCACCTGGCTCCCTGCTGCTGGCGTTTCCATAACAACATACCCTCTCTTGGGGGCTGCTTTCTTATGTATGTGTCTCCTGCTGGATCACAACCTGCACAAGGTGGGGGCTGGTGCTGGCTTCCCACCTGACCACCTGACCGGGAGGGAGCAGCCGTGGTCCTGCAGAACCTGGCCATTGTCATACTGCAGAAAGACTGTGAAATGGGAGCACACACATCAGAGCTGTCTCTGGGTTGGACAGTGCCTCCAGGCCACACCAACCTGACATTCTCGTTTGTCACATGGAGTTGTTGCAGGGATGACATGCAGTTTGCAAAGGGCTCGATGGGAGCATAGCTGTGTTACTCGGAAGGGTGGTGATGTGAGCAGAGGGGTGTCTATTCACCTGGAGCGGATGGAGCACTGTGTGGCTGGGACTCGTGGTTATGTATGGGGCCTGGGCCACAGGCTGGGGAGTCCAGGAGCCAACCCAAGTCCACTCTGTGTGGCTGGGACAGCTCCGTGTTGTGGCCTCCCACTTCACTGGAGAATAAAATAATAAAAGAGAATAAAAGAATAACCTTCTCTTCTCCCACGTGTCCTTCTGTACCCCACTCCCTGGAAAGCCCATGCGGTGACATAAAGTGGTCTCCTGACTGCCAAGGATCATGCTCAGTCCTTCCAACATCTTCTCCAACAGGTACTACTGGACGTGCATGGCCGCCAGCATGCCCGGGCAGCCCTGCTTCCATGACTCTGCCCAGTTCCTGGACAGTGGTGCTCCCACCATCTCCTTCCCAGTGAGCTGGCTCAGCCACAGCTATGACCAGTTCCTTGTAACATTGACAGTCTCCAGTGGTGACCGGAACTCTTCTGAGGCCCAGGTGTTCCTGTCTACCCGCCCTGAGCCGGCCTTCAGGTACCTGCCCTGCATTCTGCCTGCCTAGCCCTGCAGCCTGCCCTCCTGGCTGGCATTGACGGCTCAAGCTGAAGTCAGAAGGAGGCAGAGCTGGCTGAGTTCTCAGCCAGGCCTTTCCAGTGCCTCTTCCCGGACTTCCAGGACACCCCAGAGCTGAGGGTACACCAGTGTGGACCCAGTTGATATCTGAGACTGAGAGCAAAGGGCTGCCGTGACCGAATCCCAAAACCCCTGCAGCACCAAGGCCAAAATAGCACCTAAGGGCTCTGTACAACCCCAGATGACAAACACAGGGCACCCGGTGGCAGGATGCCTGGGCTCAGCTGTCCCCGACCTCCCCTCTAAGGCAGTTGGGTCATTAGTAAGTGAGCAGGGGGACAGTGCAGTTCCCAGGGCTCTCTTGCTTTGGCTCTTCCCCCCATGGGAGCTGGAAGCTGGCATCCACCCAGGGAGCAGTGCTGGGACCGACCCACTGTCCACATCCCTTGAATTGTGCTTGGAGATTCTGGGCAGGTAAGGCTACTTCCATAATAGACTCCAATCCAGTAACTGCCTGAATTGTGTGGCCATGAGTTATGGAAGGCTTTCTGGAGGGGGAGGCAACTCTGCTGTTCTTAGAGGCCAGAAGGACTGCTTTGGGGGAGACTTTCTGGAGTGGATCCAGGGCTTCAGGATTGAAGCAGTGAAAATAAGACTCAGTAGATAAGAATGGGTCCTACCAGGGTGGGTCTTATGATCATACAGAGCTAGCTACAGGGGTCCTGACCGATCCAGGCCAGTTCCATGCTACATCAGGCTCCAGATATATATTGAAAGTGAAGAGGGTTCAGGAGAT